TTTGCTTCACTTTTTACCCCCTCCCCTGATTAGTCTTACACTCCTATGAATCATTTTTTTCGAGAAAACATCTACATTTATTATTTTTTTTATTTGGTCTTGTACTCCTAGCTGGTAGGATCTTAAGGGCCTATAGAATACCGGTTAGAGGTACAGCTCGCATATTTAGTTGACTTTTCCCAATTTTATTACAGTTTGCTTTGCATTTTACTTTTTGCCATTCCATGTTGGTCTTGCACTACAATGAAATCCTTTCTTCAAGACTACATTTACACTTAGTTTTTTTTAGTCATGTACTTTTAGCCAGTAGGATCTTACTGCGGTGGCCGTCATCATCAGTCAATTTGTTTAGGAGGATATCTAGAATCGCGGCCAACCGACAGTAACGTTAACAAGGAAGAAGCAACTAGTTTTGGGAGGGTCTGCACAATCTGCGAGCCAGCAAGCCACGGTGCGAGCCATGCGAGTCATGCCATCCATTTGTACGGGTATTTTTTTTCTTTGATCTGTCCAGGGTCTGGGAGGTCGTCGATCATTTCGCGCCCAACTATCACAAAAACTATCGCTATGAAACGCCTGCCCGCCATCTTGAAAGCGGAGATGATCCTGGGGACGAGTATAAACGGTACAACGTCCCTCCCAGGGAACTCTCTCTTTCCCTGGGAAATAAATGTTAAATTTAGCTACAAAAGTGCTTAAAATTGCAATATTCCCATAAAAATCCCAATCTCGCTTCGGTTGCCAGAACTACTGCTGGTGCGTCAAATATGAAAAATGCTCTAAACATATGTACATCGTGCCAAGTCTTGCGTCTTAGTAATGGCTGTCGTGAGTTGGACGATTTTTTTTCTTTCTTTCATATTCTTGTTATTTAGAGAAAAATCTATCTATTCAAATCGCTCAGGATCCGCAAAAAATAAAAACAATGCGACAAAAATTAATTAAGGTTCAAGACTTAAGTAAAACATTTTTTGAGAAAAACGTACGGCTCCACCGCCCTACCGCTACTCGAATGGGTAGTTGAATGGTGTCTATTGACGCCTGTCATTCATTAATATCCACATGGAAATTTATTCAAGAGAAAAGAGAACAGTACTTCCTGGGCGTTAAGAATGGTAGGTAAATCGCACAGTTTTAACAGCTTCACTCTTTAATGAATCAGAGTTATCAAAACTCTGTCGGTTGACTGATTCCTGCATGTGGTTGTCTCCTCCCTCAGACAAGTCTTTCTTAAAAAGTCGCCACCAGAGTATATGTAGCAGAAGCTGGTTTCGAGATAGCATTCGACCCACCAGCTGACAGTAAATGCTTCTACTACGCCGCTTCTTCTGATTCTGACTGTGGCTCGCATGATTCGCATGGCTCGCCCCTTGGCTCGCATGGTTCTCTGGCTAGCAGGTTTATAACACTCGTTTTGGGAGCGCCACTACCACCGCAACTACAAGTACGATAAAGGCCAAGGGGAGCATTTTGTTACAAACTGCTACCGCGATAGCAACAAACGAAGACTGATCCAAGTCCGTTCCCGTACGAATTTTGTTCGACATTGGCAATCAACGTTCGTACGTGACCGACCACATCAAAGCGAAGCTGGGTTTAACTGCAACGTCGACTGAGACCCTTCACCTAAACACGTTTGGGGAAAACGCCTATCGTAAACAAAAATGCTAAGTTGTTACTTTGCCACTACGAAGCAATAAAGATGAGTAGGTGGAGATTTGAGCGCTTAATTTTCCAGTCACTTGTTCTTCACTTCCAAAGAGAATAGACGTCACGAAATACCCACAACGATCCACAAGGATCCAAAAGCTTGGAGTGCTTCAGATAGGAAGTTCCATAAACTCTGTAAGCAGTGACATTGTAGAAGAATTCAAAGATTGTTTTACAGGAGTAGGAAAGCTAAAAGGATATCAGCTTAAGTTGCATATAAAAGAGAATGTGGCACCTGTGGTTCAGCCTCTGCGCAGACCACCATTCAATCTTAGAGACAAAATCGAGAAGAAATTAGACGAACTGGAGAACACAGACATCATTGAGAAAGTAAACAGTCCATCTCAGTGGGTCAGCCCTGTAGTTGTAGTCCCAAAACCCAATGGGGAAGTGAGACTTTGTGTAGACATGAGACAAGCAAATTGTGCGGTAGAACGTGAACGATACCCCATTCCAACCATTGATGAAGTACTTCAAGACATGAACAATAGTAAAGTGTTCAGCAAGCTGGACTTAAGATGGGGGTACCATCAAATTGAATTATCTGAAGAATCCCGTGAGATTACCACATTCATCACACACAAAGGTCTGTACCGATATAAAAGATTGATGTTTGGGATATCAGCAGCTCCGGAGAAATACCAGCAGGTTATCCAGCAGACATTGCAAGGTATTGAAGGGGTACACAATATCTCAGATGATATTATAGTGCATGGTGCAACACATGACCAGCATGATGAACG